TGCTCCTTTATGAGTGTGTAACCGAGCCTTTACTCTGGTGGTTGAATGCCCAACATTCGTGTCCAAGATCTAGCCTATATATAGGCATGCATTCGGACTAAATAGCTTGCCAGCCTCTTGAGCTTTCGAGGCATTCTTCTCCTCCTCCCTTCGTCTGACTTTATTTCTATTAGTGTTGCTGTTCTATGCCCTTGCATTGTGCAAGAAGTGCTTATTTAATCCTGGAAAACTATCAATTCATCATCCCAGTGTGTCGAAATAGTTCTTAAGGACAGTGTTCTTTGGGCACGACTCAAGTAGCTTGTGATTTACATCCATACCACCAACACACTCTCGTTGCAGTCACTGGTGACTGTGGGTGCACTGAAATCCTCCCTTCCTTTCATTCTTCCTCACCTATTCTTCCTCTGATTCGTGCGACGACCTCCCCTTCCTGGTTCAACGTTGTCGTCGCACTTGTGTTTGTGACTGTGGGTACGTTGATTTCTTCCTCAATTTTCACTAAGCCAGCTTCTTCTTCATGCTTCTAGGTTCGTGAATTTGAGGTGAGGATCTAGGAGTTCTTATCCTCCTTGTTGATTCTGTGAGTGTGTGTTTAGGTAGCTGTGGTTGTGATTTTCTTCCTTTCTTGCTCTGCTGCCGCTTATGAATGTGTAGATAGGATTTTACCAAACTAAAATTAAAGCTTAAGAGAATGTTTCCATTAAGTAATTTGGGTATGATTGTTTTAGGTTACTATCAATGGAGATAAATGTGGATTTAATTCTTCTTTGAGCTTAAATGGTTCGTGTTAAAAAAATGAGACCGAGAAATCTTGGTAAATTGAAGTGTTAATTAAAAAAATGCTAGGAAAAGGTTTGGAAAAAAAAGAAGATTGATGATATAGTTGAATGTTGATGTTATAGTTGGAATGGAGTAATTAACTATGTTGAATGTATTAAATACCAGATTCAAATTTAATATTCTGATATGCCCTTATACTAAGTCATATTTTTTTTATGAAATTGAATTTAGGGAAGCATACACATGTTGATGTTTGAGAGTTGTATGGTTGGCAACTTATAAATTATGTTTGCATGACTTGATTTTTGGAATGCATATAAGGTGTTTGATGAGACATGAGAGAGGGAAATTTTTTATTTAATTGAATAACAAAGTGTGTGGGTAATGAAGTTTTTATGTTGCAACTTGGGATTAAGAAGCTTGCTTATATAGGTATTGGAAAGGGATATGGGATCTATGAAGTTCATTTGATTTATTTATTTATTTATTCATTTTTGACCTGCCTTATTTTATTCATGTAAAACTTCAAATATATTAAATAAAATGTTATGGCTTCAAGTTATGATGTCGTTTAAAGGGTGCATATGTAAATAAAGAGTTTAGTAATGGTATTGTTTAATTAAAGTATGTGTTAGTGAATTATTATAACTTTATGGATTAGAAAGAAATGTGGAGGAAATGAATGTATTTGGATTGAAAACTAAAAGATTAATGTTCAAGAGCAAGGGGAATATACTATAATAATTAAGTGCGTGAACTATTATGAGTTTGACAAAATTTTAAAGGTTCAATTATCATGGTATTAAAATATTCTAGGAGTAAACCTTGTTGTGATTGTGAAGATAGTTAAGAGTAAGTTACATTGATGGGACTTGAGAGTGCCTTAGGTAAGTGGATAATGTCTCAATCAATTTATCAGTAAATTTTCTTTTATCAAGTATTATTTTCAATGATTGACCATTATAAACACACACACACATATATTTCTCTAGCCCTGATTACTTTTGTTAATTGACTTGTTCTAACTCTTAAAGTAATGACATATACTCATAAGATTTATGAAAATGCTTTTACATGTTTTAGCAACCATATATTTGATAAACACAATCATGGAAATTGGTGAAAAATTTTATGAGATATTAGTTATGAATTTTTATATTTAGAAGGATTGTTTCTTTAAATAATTCATGTAAGTTTGACATTGAGAAGAGAAAATTATATTTTCAAAAATGATTATTTTATCACATGTTTGAAAAATGTTAGAACACAATGTCGTCGTATAATTCATATTGCTAACCCCACCTAATAGGATAAGGTTTTGTGTTATTGTTGTTGTTTTTTTTTTTTATGTTTGAAAAATGGATTAGAAAGGAACTATATTTTGAAACAATGGTTGCTAACGACAGTCCTGTTAGTCCTTGGCATGCCTTGGTTAATGATTAGCTAGTTTGATTTTCGTAAGCTTTGTTCTCACATTCATTATTCGTGGGTCTAATACCTGCATTTGTCTTCATGGCTTTGAGTTGCTTTGGTTAGCATTATCCTCATGGATTGTATGCCCACGTTTGTCTTCATGGCATATGCTGTATTTAGTTACTTATCCTCATGAACTATGTGTTCATGTTTGTCTTTATGTCATATGTTGAGTTTGGTTATTTATCCTCATGAATTGTGTGTCTATGTTTTGTAATAATTCTGATAAGTCCTCAGAAACATGAGTTTGATTATTTGGTGAATTCATACTCTATTGGTTTTAATTAGTAATATCACTATATTTATTTATTTTGTTTATTTGTTTTCTTGGGTTTAAGTGATAAGGATATTTGATATTATAATTTAGTGGTTCAAGATTATATTTGATATTATATTTGTTTTCTTGGGTTTAAGTGTATTATTTTTATAGTCTGTTTCATATGCTCTTCATTGACTATAGATAGGATCTTAACATATTGTATACGTTGTTGACTGTTTGTTGTTGAGGAGTGGAACTCCTTGTCGCTGGAGGTTTTGTCAAATTTTTTTAAAAAAAGTATATGATTCTTTTTGTTTATAAGAAAAATATGGTAAGAATTTCTAATCTTATTATTAATGAGTTCAAAGTATTAATTTAGAAGTTCCTTTAAGTAAGGCATATGGGATATGGGTTTTGCACACATATCCTGTGCTAGTCACATCCTGTTTTTGGGGCGTGACAATGTGATATCAGAGTTTAGGTTTCCTATAGTACGTAAAGTAATTGATTTTTAATGAGGTCTCAGTTATCACTATGAATTTGGACATAATCATAATTAAGACATCATTAAAAACCTTTTATATATGTGAAGAAAGTGCTTTTCGATAAGGTCTCAACTATTATTATGAATTAGGATATGATCATTATTGAGACATCATTGAAAACCTTTTGGGATGTCTATGTCCTTCAACTATATAGTTGTTGGTTGGTTTATTAGTTTGTTTTTATTTAGGTGTTTTAGAGAGTGGTTTGTAACATGTTTGAATTGGTTGCTTGATGATTTATTTCCAGCACTAGGTTGAAAATGATTATGCATACTTTCTCCTATATGTAGGTTTCTACCTATAATCATTCAAAATGTATTTTGTTTACTATCTAAAAACAAACTATCGTCTGGTCGAAGGGACTAATCCCTTATGATGTGGAGAATTAAAGTTCGAATTATCATTAAGAAATGTGCCCACATTTAATATTTAACATTACTTTGAATATGATTCCTTTCAATAGAATGATAATCGAGGAAGGAAAAAAACTCTTCTCATGCGCTTGCATTGTGGGCATTTTGATCACTTGGACATACAGGATTTTCTATTGAGAGATGCTGAGAAACCTAGATTATGAGAGGATCCAGTTCCCTCATTCACTCACTTAAAATCAAAACACTCGATCCACAACTGCTCTCATTTCTCTATTTTGTGATTTGTCGGCCATCGCCTTTCATTGATTCCACTCCATCCTATCTTCTTCAATGGTGGCTAATTGGGAGTGGAGCTTGCCCTCATCTTCTTCACTCTTTAGCTTAACTGTGCCAAGGTAGTTCTTCAACACTCCATCTTTGTCTTCTTCAGCTTTGTCATAACTGTTGCTTTCCCTTATTTGCTATGCTTTCTATTTTTTTTCTTTTCCTCTGCTATATATTTAAAAGACTAATAAATCCAGTTGTGTGGCTCTGTAATTTAGGGTATGGTTGAGAGTATATGGTGGAATGGAAAGGAACGATCATTAATGGAATGGAATGTAATGGAGTGGGATGGAGTGGAATGGAATGGAATTTAGGAGTTTCATTAAAAGAATAAATAATTTTATTTAATTATTATTTAAAAATAATTATACAATTAATAGATTTGAATAAGATATAATTATATATTTTTTAATTTTAAGGTAAGGGAGAGTGAAAGAGTGAGAGGGAGTGAGAAAGATAAGGGTAATTTTGTAAAAATGTTATTTACATCATATCATTCCATCTTTGAGAAGTCAAGAAAAATGAATTTAAGATAGCAAGAGATGACTTGAAAAGCCACCCCAAATCATTCCATCTTCTTTTAAATTTTTCTTCCAAATAATGGCATAAGACTTCTAACTATTTCATTTCATTCCATTCCACCTTAAAAAAAAACTTCCAAACATTACCTTAAAGTTTAAACTATTACCTGTTCCTTGAGATTCAGTCCCTGAGCATAATTCCGCTGCTGTCAAAACACTGTCTTCCAATTCATTATCCTTCGCCTAGTCAAGATGGGGGAAAATTCAGATAAAATCCATCAAATAATAGCTTGAGCACCACGATTGTTAAAATAGCAATCCAACTTACAAATTGTACAATAATGTGCTGCCAAATCAGATTTGAAGTTTATGCATTTTCTCAGGCTTCATAACTGAGACCCTACACTATATTTTTCCTTGGCTTCATAATTAAAGTATACATATCGGGGTCTTATTCGACCCGTTGAACCATAATACTTGTAATCCAGTAACCTTTCCTATTTGTCTTCAAGTGAAGGTTTTAAAACAATGATCTGAATTAGTATCTACAACTCACTTTTTAAAATTTTTTTACCGCCCGCCTAACTTTAATTAATATATTTTCTGGGACTTCTATGTCATTCTTTGTGGGGATAACATACTTGACTGACAAAATTGGTGTATGGGAAAGAAATACTCTTCGGTTAAAAAGTATAAAGTATTTTTAATTGAGTTGAAAATTCTGAAGAAATTTGCTAAGAGTGACTAGCCTTTCTATTTCGCTTTCTGAAGAAAATAGCTCAATTGAGGACGGGAAACAGGAAGTTTGATGGCATTCATTTCATGCTCTCGTAGTGGATCGTCAGTAGTATTTGCAAATCATTACCTCGTCCCCATCTTCGATTCCGGTTCACAGCTTTCCTCGTCTCTCAGGTGCACTACTAAAAATTTTCTTTTCCTTTCTTGCATTTCGCATGTCTAGTGTTGTAGTTTCTCGTAATCCCTTTTTCAATTCAGGCAGTTTTTCTCGAATCAGAGCGAAACTACCAGCGAGGATGAAAAAATGGACAAAGACTATAAACCCAAATCATCCACGAAATCGAAAACATCCAAAGCCATGGCTAGGCTTATCAATTACAAAACCTGGTCAAATGAGCTAGCATCTTCTTTATCTTCATTTTCTCCCACTCTGTCAAAAACCATGGTGCTTCAAACTCTTCGCCTTATCACAAATTCATCCAAAGCCTTTAATTTCTTTAAGTGGGTACATGATAAGGGTTTCCCTCACAGTGACCAAACATACTTCATAATGCTAGAAATTTTGGGTCATGGAAGAAACCTTAATGTGGCTCGTAATTTTTTGTTTTCAATTGAGCTAAGATCTGATGGTGCTGTTAAGCTTCACAATCGATTCTTTAATAGCTTAATTAGAAGTTATGGTCAAGCTGGATTGTTTGAAGAGTCAATGAAGCTTTTTCAGACTATGAAGAGAATGGGTGTTTCACCATCTGTGATCACATTCAACAGTCTTTTTTCTATATTACTTAGACGGGGTCGGACGAATATGGCAAACGATCTTTATGATGAAATGCTTAGCACATATGGAGTTACGCCAGACACATATACATATAATATTTTGATCAGAGGGTTTTGTAAGAACTCCATGGTTGATCAAGGCTTCAGATTTTTCAATGAAATGTCCCGCTTCAATTGTGATCCCGATATTGTTACTTATAATACACTTGTTGATGGCTTATGTAAAGCAGGGAAGGTCAAAACTGCACATAATTTAGTGAAGGGCATGAGTAAGAAAAGCAAGGATTTGAATCCTAATGTTGTGACTTATACAACTTTAGTTAGAGGGTATTGTATGAAACAAGAATTAGATGAGGCCTTGCTTATTATTAAGGAGATGACTAGTCGGGGGCTCATGCTAAACAAAATTACCTGCAATACTTTAATCAAAGGACTCTGTGAAGCTCACAAATTAGATAAGATAAAAGATATTTTGGAACAAACCATAGGGGATGGGGAGCTCAGTCCAGACACATGTACCTTCAACACGCTAATTCATGCACATTGCAGTGCTGGAAACTTAGATGAAGCATTAAAAGTGATTGAGAAGATGAAAAGCTTGCAGGTCCCAGCAGACTCAGCCACCTACAGTGTTGTGCTGCGGAGCCTGTGTCAAAGAGAGGACTATGATATGGCAGAAAAGCTGTTTGATGAGTTGTATGAGAAGGAGATTTTGTTGAGTAATTTTGGCTCTAAGCCTCTTGCTGCTTCTTACAACCCTATGTTTCAGTATCTTTGTGAACATGGGAAAACTAAGAAGGCTGAGAGGGTATTTAGACAGCTAATGAAAAGGGGAACACAAGACCCTCCGTCCTACCAGACAATGATTATGGGGCACTGTAAGGAAGGTTCTTATGAAGATGGATATGAGCTTTTGAAGTGGATGTTAAGACAAAATTTTCTTCCAGATTTTGAGATATATGATTCTTTGATTGATGGTTTTCTTCAGAAGGAGAAACCTCTTCTTGCAAAAGAGGCACTGGAGAAAATGCTAAGGAGCTCCTATCTTCCTAAAACATTAACTTGGCACTCTATCCTGTCAAAGCTTTTGGAAAAGGGTTGTACTAATGAATCTGCTAGTTTTATTGTCATGATGCTAGAGAAAAATATTAGACAAAATATAAAATTTTCAACCATGAGTTTACAGCTACTTTTTGGCCGTGGACTAAAGGAGAGAGCATTTGAGGTTTTAGAGTTGCTTTACAAGCATGGATACTGTGTTAAAATAGATGAATTAGTTCAGTTTCTTTTACACAGAGGAAAGCTATCAGAGGCAAGCAAAATGTTGGCATTTTGTTTCGAAAATAATCAACATGCTGATCTTGGTTTGTGCAATGAAGTTATTTTGGGCCTTTGTGAAAGGAACAAGGTTTCAGAGGCTTTTGGTTTATGCTATGTATTGGTGGAGAAAGGCTTACATCAGGAATTGACTTGTCTAGATGAACTAGTATCTTCTCTAGAGGCTGACAGAAGATCAGATGAAGTGGCATTTATATCTAAGAGGATGCAAAGGCAAGAATCGTTAGGAAGATCTTCACAAGAATAGGGACTCGTTCTCAGCACTTCACAAATCTGATGCAATAGCAGTAGCCCATTAATCATTCTCTGAGCTTCAGACTTTTCAAGATGAAAATTCATCCCCACCTGAATGAAGTATGATGTGTATTAGTAAGTTACCTTTCAATTTATCATTTTAATTGAAAATTGTCATAATAGTGAATGGTTTCCTATTCATTCTATTCTAATGTTGTTAAAAATACTAGGGTCTGAGGCTGTTGATCCTTTCGTTTGTTTTGGAAAGAAATGCTAGTGGGTTGTCTTTCCCAAAGAATTGTTGATATAACGTGGTTGATTTAACATATTATGGAGGGGAGTGTAACCATCATATATAATGAGACTGCTAAATTATGGAAGTATAGAAGAAGGATCTTGTATTTCTTGGTAGAAGTGTTTAAGTTGATTGATGCAGTGGCAGCAGTTTAGGTCTTACAATTCTGTTCGTGATTATAACCTTTAAGAGAAGCCAAATGCAAAGAAGTTTTCTTCCTTCCTTTTGTTCTGTATAAAGGTTGAATGTTTTATACCAGTTGCTATTGCATAATGGCCCCTCTGTACCAACAGAGAAGGATTTATAAAGTGGTTGTTTGTTGTGTCTTTTGAAGCTAGTATACATTAGTCCCTTCTCACTTTTCAATGACCATTATCTATTGCAGTTTATCTCCTAGTTGCTACAAGGAAATTAAGATCAAGTTGACAGTGCAGGGTAACCCTGAATCCTCATTGGATGCTTCAGATCAAGCAGCAAGATTGCCAAACTTGCATAATGTATGACAAAACCTTATTCTCTTTCCCTCCATGGTAACTCTGACCACGTCATGCAACTAAAATTTTCATCAGTCTTCTGCCAATCCTGACAAAAGTCACCAAGGCTTTTCTTATCTCAAATATACCTCCTGTTTTTGCCATGATCATCTTTCAAAGGTGGTATAGTGTAAACAAAGGACTTCGGCTTTTCCTTTCCATTCTCCCTCTTTAATTTCTTTAGTATAATCCCTGACTTTGAAGGTTAAGTCAATTTATACTTGCAAAAGATTGATTTGAAGTGTCTCCCCTAGTCTCCTGTTTTCTGATCTGAAGGCAAGTATCTTGTGTTTGGGTTGTGTTTAGAGAAGCCAAAATCTGTTGCTTACGTTATTGCTGAAAGGCGTGTTTGATGTGACTCTGGTTCATTACTGAATCGATATAGAAGAATGTGGGTAGATTGGTGATGAGGACTTGAAAAAACGTTCATTCAGGTTCCTATTATATGAACCTTGAGTTTTTATTTTACTTTCCTTCCTTGCAGTTTTCACAATCAGTTTTTGGTTTCTTCATTGATTTCAAGTACATGTCCTTTCTTGGATTCAAACGCATGTCTCTATTAAAATTTTCAGTGAGAATGACACTTAGGTCTCAAAACAGTTAATTAATATTAATTAAGTTTTTGACAAATATTTTTGAAAAATAAGTTGAAAATATCGATTTAAATTATTATAAATTCAGGAATTTTAATTACAGATAAGTATTTAAATATCAAATGTAATTTTTGAATTGTAACAAAAAAAATTTATTTGTAATTATTTGAATTGATATTTATATTTCATTTTATTAAAAAAATTTATTGGGAATTTAACTGGTATTAACTCACTGGTTTGGACCTAATTGTTATTCTCCTAAACTTTTATTTCCTTCATTTTGCTAGTTTTTTATTTTCTTATGTTTCATCTCTCTGGTTTTTTTTTTTTTATCATTTCAAGGCTTCTTGGACCATTAATTGAGCAATATAGCAATGTATTTTCTGTAGATTTCTACTATGTTTCCTGATATGATAAGAACGCTACTGTTTGTCATCAATAACTATAAGATGGGTAAGAAGATAAAAAAAGTGGACTTCATCTCTTTATTGAGCCTTTTTTATTTTCCAAGATATTTTATATATGTTATCAAAAGACGTCCTTGAATTATGATTTTTGTTGCAGCTGGCATTCTCTTTTCCATTTTTGGTGTCAATCAATATTCCAAATCACTTTGCTGATGAAAAGTGTTGTATCCACTCAGCGCAACACAGTACCATCAGTCAGGCCCAAAACCAACACCATGGCTGACCCAATAACGTGCAATGTAGCAGCCCAATTTACTGTATCTAGAAGCAACGCTTAGGGCTACGTGTCTACATTCATTCTTATCCTTCCACATGTTGTAGCACATTACACTCCCTCATTCACTGTATATATTTACGCCCTCAGTAACAGCATTTACAATGGAAGCTCATTATAATTAATCATCATTTTGTCTCTTTACCTTCACATAATATTAGAGCCAGTAATTTAGACGGATTGAATTTGTTTGGATTGGGCTCAATTTGAGCTAAATTTATTTGTATCGGACTTAAAATATTCTAACATATAAAAAATACTTATATAATTAATTCCAGCTCTAATCCCTCAGGCTTTTGGTTTATTCAGACTGGCTTGAATACTCGATTGTTAAATATTATTTTATTTTATTTTTTCATTGTTTGTGTCACTTCTAAAAAGAATTTGAGTATTCAAGTTAAGTTCATTCATGTTTGGATTTGGCCAAATTTTTTTTTAGTTTAAGTTGTTTGAATGAGCATATAATAAAAAAAAAATTAAAACTTTCAAACCTAATCTTAAGATTTTTACGGATTTATTCAAGTTGTTTTGTCCAATTTGACCCAAATTATCACCTAGATATGGTACGCACAATGAACACATCAGGATGGGACGCCCCACTCGTCTCCTTCCAATTCTTTCGTTGCTTCCATTACCATATCCCTACCTCTCCTCAATTCATATCTATCAAACTCGCTCATGGTAGCTATGTTGTGTGGAATGCTCAAAAATGATGCCTTACCTTTATGGCCAACTATTATTTTCTCTCATTGATGATTCTTTTCCCCCACCCTCTAAAATTACCTCTTCAGGCACTCCTAATCCTGATCGTATTAAGTAATTTCAACAAGATCAGCTGGTTTTCTGTAAATTTTATGTCATTTTCTAGTTAATTTAGTGTTAAATTTGTAATTTTGGTTAATAGTAAGGTAGACATTGTATCATTTTCAAAACTTGATAAAAAAATATTACACATAAAAAATGAGTCTTAAAAGCTTCTAAACTTATTGCTTAGATATCTAATTACTATTTAACCCAATTTTTGATATCACAAAAAAAAAAGGAAGTCAAATGGATTGAGATCATTTTCAAAAATATTCACAATTGGTTAGGAACCTCGGATCTGCATTTAAATAATCAAAACTTATGCAATAATCTTTGCTAGTTACAAAATGTTTTCTAAAACGAAAGTATAAAATGTGTTCATACTATTTTCTTTCTAGGTATATCTCTATATATTTAAAAAAAAAGAAGAAGCCCAAACATGTAATTATTGTTTAATTTCATAAGGGAAATCCTGTACTATGTACATGTTGTAACATTTCAAATTTTAATCCTTGGATTACTACAGAATTAATCAAGTTTGATTGTAGTAATTGAGTGTTTTGATGTGGTATGTGGTCAGAGAGGTATAATAATTATATTTGAATGTGTTTTTAGCCTTAGTTTTGGGTCCGAAGTGAAGACAGGCTACTCGAGCATCGAAAGGAGAAGAAAAAACTTGAAGGGATGTCTCTGTGCCACATGTTGCGACGTGCAACACGTCCACTGTGGTGCACAAATGACCATTGAAGCAGGAGGGTTTCTCTGTGCCATACACAACCCCTTTTTCTATAAAATTTAGTCGCGAACAGACAAAAAACAAAAAGAGAAAAAGGAAGAAAACAAAAGGAAAGGAAGAAGCTCTGCTAGGGTTCATATTTGAAAGGTATTTGGAGTATTTTTAAGCTAGTAATCACCTAAGGTAAGTATCCTATACTCCATTCCTCCCTCTTTCTTTTATTTTAATGGGGATTAGAGTTAGGGTTTGAGTTGGGATGATGATTTTTTATCCATATAGGTTATAGGTTCGAACTTATTGACGCAAACAGAATTAATGGGAGTTATTTGAAGTATTTAAACTTAGAGATAATGAGTTTTAATATCTTTAGTTGGTGAGCCTCATTAATACCTGAAAATGAGCATTTAATGGGGATTAATGAGGTTTGTTGGGACATTAATGACTTTGAAAATCATTTATGATGTTAATAGGAACTAAAGAGAGTTATTAAACCCAATGGGTAAATCCAAAAGTGAGAAGTATGAGTGTTAAGCATTATAGAAATGAAAGTATAAGAGTGAAAATTGTGTGTTCGATATTATTGGTAAAGTTTAGGATTGATTAATTATAGATTGGGCATTTGGGCACTATATTCATTTGGGAAAATTAAGCTTGGAAGCTAAGTATTGAGGGGTAAACCTTTGACCTCTCAAAAGTTTGAGGTAATCGGGAGAACCCTATCTTGGGTAATTTTTTATTAATTGTATTGTAATGTGAAATGAGCATATTAACATGTATGATTTGATTGTAAATGTGAAGCATGTCATGATCTTTGATGATTAGTTGAATTGAATATGCCATGTTTTATTAGTGCTTGAAATGTGCAATTGATGTCAATATGATTTTCAAAACCATGATTATATATATATATATATATATATCTTAAGATGAGAAATGTGATGTATGGCAAGAATATTTGTGAAAATATTATGGATGCTCATTTAGGTAGCATATTATCATGAGCCCAATGTACTAATAATGAATAAATGAAATTGTGAAATGAGTGGGCATCGTACACTGCATGATCAGTTGGCGAAAGTTTGCCTAGGGAGAATAAAAATCCATTTGGTATTTTCGAATACTTTCCGGTGCAAGAGAGTATATCCTTATCCCATAATTTATTAAGGGACTATCTCATAGTTTGTCGAGGCATTAAAACCTAGCTATCTCCACCAGTTTATCGAGGAGATTAGCTTAGGTTATACGACACCTCAGAGATTCAAGAATGGAGAAAACCATGGTCCAAGAGTAAGTCATGTGATCTTTGGTCGGGTCACACCTCACAATCGGTGAGCTTGGATAGTCTAGTCACACAGATAGAACCCTATTTGATGTTATAACCCATGGTTTCAATTAAAGGAAATAAGGAGGTTATAAAGATGGTATGATCATGCATATGTGTGTCTATTTAATGTGTCACATGATTAAGTTGTGTTAAGTTATGTTAATATATTGGGACATGGTCACATGTCGAAGTGTCTTATAGCTATGTACTTTGTGATTGAAATAAAAATGAGTTGATGGAGAAATGATATTTTATGGTTCATGTGCTAGTATGTGTTTTGAGAAATTCTATTTCAAACTTACTTGTTTGTTTCAATTGATATACAGTTGCATAGGGTAGACTTACCTTGGTTACTAAGGGGCTAGACTCACCTCTCTTCTTTAACATTTTATAGGCTAATACTCTAGTGCAAAGAGGATAAAGCTCCTAAGGCTTAAGAAATTAGAGTATTCCTTTTATATGCCTCTATGTTTTATTTATTTACTTTGTGTAATAGATTAATATTGCCAATTTAGGATGCATTTTGAGTACACTTGCACTATAAAGTTGTCTGTAAGGTCTAGTTTGTATTTTAGGCCCTGTGTTGTTGAGTATGATAAGTTATATATGTTAATAGGGTTAAAATACTAATACAAGTGTATAAATGTTCATTTGTTTACATTCTTAAACGCTATTTTGAAATGTAACACCAAAACCTCCCCTTTTTATTTTTGGTATTAAAGGAGTTGAGGAGTGAAATTTTAATATTCTGGTGTATTGCTGCATGTGGTGTTTTGTACAAGTATTTTTAAGTCCAATGAATATGGCCTGGGTGATAGGAATGGCTTTTGATACTTATATAAGGTTTTGGACACCCTTTCTGTTATGAAAGTTGAGAAAAGTGACAAAAATGTGTTGGAGTGTCCAACTTCCTAATGTGACTTTTTTGGAAGTGAAACACATGCCACTAGCTATTTTATGAAAAGAGTTTTTCATAGACACCTAGATCATCTCATTTGGACGTTGGACAAAGAAATGAGACATGCTGAAAGTTGCTCGGATTCCATTATCAAATGACAGCAGAATTGTTGTTATATGCATACAGCGCGTCGCATAAAGAGCAACAAGCTGTGGTGCAACATTCGTGAGCCACGACACATTGCTCTATTTTCAACATCATGAGATTTTTCAACTGCTTTAACTCCTTTGAGATATTCCATGCTTCTGTAACATAATTTTACACTGATTAAATATTAAATGACTGGTCTTAACTCATTTAAAACTATGAAAACTTGAGATCTTGTTATTTCAAAGTACAAACTTGGTAATCTCTTTATAGGTTAATCCCTTAATTACTTTAAATTTTGGTTTTAAATGTGATTAGAGTGAGGAGATTTTACATATGGTGCTCTAAATATAAATAAACTATCATCTGTAATACAACGAAACACTTGTGAAGTTGGGTATGCGCCATTAAAATCAAGGGAGAATTGCATTGAAGTTTTACATAAGAAAATTAATTATTGTAAGGTTCATTGATAATTAATTATATTGTCAATGACCTTAGTTCAGTTGTTGGTAGATCTTTATAGGAATTAATTTTCTCGTGTAGGATCTAGATGTAATTCTCCCTAAAATCAATCATAATTCTCAAGTGCCATGATATTGATGCTGCCATAATGTTCATGTTTTTATTGACTAGTATTTTTTCTCTTTTTTTGTTTTTTTTTTTTAAATTAACCTCGTTACACATCCATGAGCCACATGGCTTGTTCACATGCATGAAACCTATTTTTATTCCCACCTTAATAAACTTGTTGAAAGTTAGAAATGCATTAGGAGCCAAACCAAGAAGAAATTATTTAAACAGAAAGAATGTTGAACTCTTGAAAATAAAAAACCTTCTTCCAACCTTCAAACTAACCCAAATAAACAAGTCATTTCTCTGAAATCATGCTACACTTCTCTCACACTAACCTCTCTCCAAGAACCTGTGAAGCCATCCATTTATAGACCCAGAAATTGTGAATCATTTTCCATTGAAACTGAAGAGCTAGAACCTGATTGATCAGTATATATATATATATAAAGATGCCAAGTGTTGATAAAGGTAATGACAGTTCCACACAGCAGTGGCCACAGCAGAAACAATCTGGTGCTGCTGCGGCACACAGGAGTAAGCGTGCACCAACACCTGGGAAGGCAACAGTGCTTGCAATAGGAAAGGCATTTCCAAGCCAAATCGTCCCACAAGAATGTTTGGTGGAAGGATACATTCGGGATACCAAATGTGTAGATTCTTATGTTAAGGAAAAATTGGAGCGTCTCTGTAAGTGCATTCCTGACCCATTAACTTGGCTTTTTGATAATTTAATTTACTTTCCTTTATTTTTTGGGCTTTATTATATTAAAAAGGATGCATAAAACCATGAAATTAAAGAGCACGATGAAGGATATAGTTGTTATATAAGGATATGACTTAAAACTCTAAAAAATGTGGATTCGAGTACGATTATGGATGCGAGGATATTATTAAGTAATACTCAATTTTCTCCCTTTTAACCATGGCATTAAAAAACAATCAGGGTTGCTCAATTAGACAAGTGAACCGTCGAACTTGTTTCTTGACCAGTTTGCTGAAGAGTTTTGGATGGGGTAAATTGGATTGGATTTTATATTTTTTTCTCTGGCCTAAGACGGCATTGTTTTGAGTTAAAAAAGATAAAAGAAAAAGTTTTGAGTTAAGATGATAAAAGAAAAAATAGCAGTCTTTCAAATCCGTGCTTTACTCCTTTAGTAACTTTTTTGCGTGATTATAGGTAAAATGTAGTTTATAAATGAATATTCTATTACATGTGGATCAATATTTTTTTATTATTATTCTTTTCAAGGTTAGATATCAATATTTGTATATTTTAATTAAACTATATTATTTTAATTATTACTGATTGTTCCCTTCATCCATATTTAAACCATTGACCCTTAAATCATTATATCGATTTAGTTCAACTTTTCAGTACCTTACTTTTAACACACAAAATTCCATTTGCATGCAATGTTTTAGTTTATAAATATGTTAACTAGCCTTTTAGAAGTTCAACTTCTCACCGACGATAATATATTGTTTGGTAGACAGTACATACGAATAACTTAGAGATGTTCATATTTCATTTATGTCACACTTAATTTGTTCATATCAATTTGCAAATATTTTAAGAAAATCCAGATACCTAATTGTCACGCTGGAAAACATCAAGCATGCAAAGTTATTTATATTTATATATAGAATTTAAATCCTCAAAAATTGTGTGTGTGTGTGTGTGTTTGTAAATTTCAGTGAAGTTTTTGTTATATTTTTCTTCATTTATATTTTTATAAAATGTAAAATTTTCTCTTTCTTTATTTACAAAGTGAACTTTACATTTAAATCCATATATATATATATATATATTAAGCTGCTACACTTTCTCTCTCCTTTATACTCTCTCTCCCACATTATTCACAGGCAAGAACACCACCGTGAAGACAAGATACACAGTCATGTCGAAGGAGATCCTGGACAAATATCCTGAACTAGCCACCGAAGGCTCGCCGACGATCAAACAAAAGCTCGAGATTGCGAATCCGGCGGTGGTGGAAATGGCCACCAGAGCCAGCCATGCTTGCATCAAGCAATGGGGAAGGCCAGCACAAGACATAACTCACATAGTCTACGTCTCTTCAAGCGAGATTCGTCTTCCCGGCGGCGACCTTTACCTCGCGAACCAGCTTGGCCTTCGAAACGACGTCGGCCGCGTCATGCTTTACTTTCTCGGCTGCTACGGCGGCGTGACTGGCCTCAGAGTTGCCAAGGACATCGCTGAGAACAATCCCGGAAGTAGGGTTTTGCTCACCACCTCTGAAACTACCATTCTAGGGTTTCGCCCTCCGAACAAAGACCGACCTTACGATCTCGTCGGCGCCGCTCTTTTCGGTGATGGCGCTGCTGCCGTTATTGTCGGAGCAAACCCTATCACCGGCGAGGATCCATTCATGGAGCTAAACTACGCTGTTCAACAATTCTTACCAGAAACTCATGGCGTGATTGATGGTAGGCTCTGTGAAGAAGGCATAAACTTCAAGCTTGGGAGAGATCTTCCTCAGAAGATTGAAGATAACATTGAAGAGTTTTGCAGAAAGCTTATGGTGAAGAGCGAGACCAAAAACGACATCGTTAAAGGGTTTAACGACTTGTTCTGGGCTGTTCATCCTGGAGGACCAGCGATTCTGAACAAGCTTGAAAGTACACTGAAACTAAGCAGTGAGAAGCTGGAATGTAGCAGAAGGGCATTAATGGACTATGGAAATGTTAGCAGCAACACCATTTTTTATGTGATGGAGTACATGAAGGAGTATCTGAAGAAAAATGGAGAAGAAGGAGAAGGAGAAGGAGAAGAATGGGGATTGGCCTTAGCATTTGGACCTGGTATTACTTTTGAAGGCATTCTCATGCGAAGCTTGTCTTGAAATTAAAGAAGATGAAGAAGAAGTACCAAATATAAATGGTGCTTCGTTCTCCGCTTATTCATTAAAAAAAAAAATTGAGATATGCTTTTCTACTTTTTAAGAAACAAGCCAAGTTAGCCACTTTCTGAATATTAGGAGCGGGATATTAATTATATCATAAACCATTATATATCTTCTTGCTTTGCAAATAATTGACTTTTGATTTTAATTTGTTTGTTTTCTCTAAGATTATTATTATTTTTCATCTTTCTCGTAATCGAAGATTTCAAGAGTAGTTACCATCCACATAAAAGTTGGAAATCATAAACTTATATATCAATCTAAGAAACAAGCTAAGTTAGTCACTTTCTGAATATTAGGAGGGGGATATTAATTATATCATAAACCTTTATATATCTTCTTGCTTGCAAATAATTGACTTTTTATTTTAATTTGTTTGTTTTCTCTAAGATTATTATTGTTTTTCATCTTTCTCGTAATCAAAGATTTCAAGAGTAGTTATTCCATCCACATATAAGTTGGAAATCATAAACTTATATATCAATCATGGAATTTGGAGCGTCTACTTTCTTCTAAACGGCTACCTCTAATGCCAATAAATTGATGAAATTATTGTTACTATTTTTTGGTTAAAAATAAATTATTACTCCCTCCCTCCTAAATTATAAAACACTTTTTTATGGAAGAGATTTAACATCCCAAAATACACAATACTTTTCCAAAAAGAAAATTTCATTAATGATGTTTTTTAATATTATCATTTCTATTAAATGAAAGGCATTTTTAGAATTTTATATTTTTGTTTTAAAAAAATAAAGTTGTAAAGTGTGTTAAATGAACTCTATTAATATATGTGATTTTGTCTAAATGTGTCTTGTAATTTGACACAAAGAGTATTTGAAAAAAAAAAATTCCCAACATTTCAAGGGTATTTAGGATAAGTAAAATCAAGGGAATAAAATTCACATGAAAAATTACGAATAACAGGAAAAGAAACCTCCTTGCAAACTAGCATTTTGGGAAGGATAAAATTCACTATAGTCAATTTCTCTGGCTAAATTCCTCACTGATCACTCACACTCATGAACAATTTGGATTGGCCTGACTCTTGCAAGTGGTTCATAAGCAAATTGGATTGGCTTGACTCTTGCACCGATTTCAACCCATTTTGACAAAACGGTTGGGGCGGTCTAGGAAATTTCATTGTAATAGAATGCTTGTATCTGATTATTAGTAGTTCTTATCTTATGATTAATTTAGGGAGAATGGCACAAAAGTACCTCCCAAATATTAATAATGTAAGGAAGATGATAGAAAGGTCCCAAAAAAATTAATTAATTTAAGTAAGATCTCAAATATCAAACTTCAAAAATTTACAACTCAATTTGACAACTTTGTTATGATGAATTTATAACTTGTATTTCAAATTTTAATAGGAAAAATAATTTTTTTTATTCTTCAACCATGTTAAAATTTGACAAACAAGTTGCAAGTTAATCACAACGTAATTGTAAAATTAAGATATAGACTTGTAAATTTTTAAAGTTTGACATTTGAAACTTGATGTAAATTAATTGGTCATTCTCTCAATAATGTAATGCATGACAATGGGCTTTTGAGCATTTGAAACTTGAATGTATGTTATAGTGCAATCCCATGGCCTAATTATATTAAATTTGTCAATAACAAGAGATACGATATGATTGTTAGAATTTATAATGGCATGAAATATAGCTTAATTATAATATGATGATGATGATGATGATGGATTTGATTTATTTTAGCATGAGATATGATACAATGCCATGATATATAGAGCATATGATCCTGCAAATGAGATTGGCATGAATTATGAATCATGATGTTGGCATGATAAGCATAGTCGTTATTATATATCATGCTAGAATTACAAATGATGGATAAATATTTGAAAAAATGACAATAAAATCCTCTCAAACTATATAAATGATAAATTAATCCCTCAAAATGTCATAATTTTACTGAAATTTCTAAGAACTTTTATGTTAATAAATTTTAAATTGAAAAGATCATTTTACCCTTATTGAAAATAACAAGCCTCAATCACAAACTTTTGCTCAAGAATAACAATTTTTGTTCTGTAAATCGTAAGAGTTGAACAAGAAATTATGATTTGTCAAGTTTAATTTTTATTATTAAAAAACAAGCCTCATTCACAACTTTTTCTTAAGGAATAATAACATTTGTTTTTGTAAATCGCAAGAGTTTAACAAAAAATTATAACTTGTCAAGTGTACTTTTTATTATTAAAAAACAAGTTTTCAAAATAACAAACGCCAAGCACAACTTTTGTTTAAGAAATAATAATTTTTATTTAAAGAATTACAAGAATTGAATAAGAAATCATAACTTGTTAATAAGATTAAAATGGTCTTTTCAACTTAAAATTTATTGCACAGAAATTCCTAGGAACTTTAATGGAATTGTAACATTTTGATAAATCAAATTATCATTTATTTAATTTGAAAGATTTTATTGTCATTTTTCCTAAATAATTTGTGTGCATGTTTTGTTGGAGCACAAATCACAAGATAAATAACGTTGCTGTAATATTGGTTTACCTAACATCCTAGGTTTAATTATTTGACAATGATAATAAATTGAGCTTAATCTCGAGTTTAGAGAAGAAATTTGAGGTTTAGAATTGGTATCAGTTGTCACTTGAGATTAGAGAATGTTGAAAAGAGGAAGAGGATTGGAAATACGAGAAAAGGAAGGAAAAATATCATGTGGGCCCAACATAATTTTCTTTGCAATAATTTTAAAAATATTGCAACATAAGCAATAATTTTCCTATGTTATTATTGATCTCTATTTCAAGTAACAAATATTTGGCAATAGTTGAAAACTATTCACTAAAATAGAATAGGCAATGAAATAATTTGCATGTGTTGCAATAAAATTTTTAGATAGGCAACATAAAAATTATTGTCTATAAAAGAGTTTGTATCGTAACATTTCCAAACTGTTTCATATTCTTATAGACAATAAAAATATAAATGCTGCTCATAAATCTTCTTTTTTACAACACTTGAACTATTGTTTGTCTGCACATAAAAAATTTATTTTTTATAATTTTTTATATATTTTTATTTATTTATTTTCTTAATTTTAATTTATTATCTACATATATGAAAAAATTAATTTAAAAATTATATATAATATTTTTATTTATAATATATAAATCTGTGTATAATATTTTTCCTAAAAGTACAAACATCAGTTTTTATAGTTCTTTTTTACATTTTTTAAATGTTTTTAAATGGGCTAAATGTTGTAGTAGACATGCTTTGCCAGGGCATCACTTATAACAACCCAACTTTTCAAGATTTCACAATAATTTCAAATAAAGAAAAAAATGTTTTCACCAATATTCCAAACATATTATTATTCTCCCAAAATCTTGTCAAACAGAACAATAGGGATCCCAAAAATGATTACCACTGAGCTTGGGGCATTTGAAGCCCAACAATCTTTCCATGATAGTTCAGCCGTCCAACAGAAAAACACAACCCAAACCACAATTTAAAATTGAATAATACTGGCAACTGGATTGGGCTCAACCCTCAAAAGTCAACAATTTAAACAATTCAAATCAAACCCAATTATTACCCAAAATAGATTAGTTATATAATTTAATCCTAGGTCATGGCAACCGAAATCATAAAACAAAAACATGTATCAAATCAAGTGACAGGAGCCAATAGCTCACTCTCTAGCGCCTTCACTATAATATTACCAGACTGGTCACCTAAAAATGGTAAGAGATAACAGGAGACCTAACATTATCTCAATAATAGTTGATTATTTTGACCTTCACTAACATATCAATTAAAATTCAGTTTGCAAAACTTATTTAGATACATATACTTACTTTTCACAATGCTTTCGCAAATCATTTTTCAATTAAGAGAATGCCAATTTTTCATAATCAAAAGTATTCACATCAAATAATAATTAAAATCAAATGATACTTATCCCAATTATACCTTTATGTCCTACCTCTTGCACTTTATTACAGTTAGCTAGAGTTTGAACCATAGATATACTTGGTTAAAGGTGCATTGCCAACATAGTGGGCTCTCCTCCTTAAAAGAGGTGCCTATCGTCCCCAAACCCATACCAAAGTAACAGGAACTACAAGAAATAGCCAATAACTATGTGCACAATGGAGATGTACCATGTGGTAATCAAAATATAAAATCTCAATATCCCATATAGAATTATTACATCAATTACCAACCACCTTATTTCCTCTTTGCATCACATTTAGATCAATCAAAATCATTCATAATCAACCAAGCTTGCTTGAAAGCTTTAAAATTATTTCATAAAAATTTAATAAACCCAAACATGCTTGAAAATATTTTTAGTTACTCAAACAAACAATTTCTCAAATATCAATTATTTCACAAAACTAGTACGCTTGAAAAGGATTAAAAAACTATATAATTAATTTCAAAGATCGAAAAGCATGCTAGAGATTTTCAAATATATTCCCAAAACAAAATAGCCAATAAGCCCTCAATGGGCACAACAGCATCTCTAGTGTAGATATCTATACAAATTAATAAAACAATAGATATCACAAAGAATTTAATGTTACCTCCTGCCTTAGCTATATAGTTACCCACCATTGGGTGCTTTCATGTATTAAATGTCTCTTACAATTGCAGATCTACATAATTCATATCACAAATAATTAAAAGAAAGTTAAAAATGTTAAATTAACTAAATTCTAACTCCCAAATTCCCAAATTCGTCTCAACATCAATTCCTCATTGTTCATTCTAAATTCAATTCATCTCAACTTCAACTAATTTTTTAGAGACATAAACTACCATCCAATACAAATTCATTACAAATCTCTATTTTTTATTTTTTTTTTTGCAATTTAAGCTCAATATTCACCATACTTACCTTGAATTTCCTTGTCAATTTCCTAATCATCCCTTTAAAATTTCAATGCAAGCATACAAAATGAATTTTAGAAATTCTAAACATCTTATAATCTTTTATTCATTTCCAAATCATTTCCTAAACTATTAGGAGACCTGCTACAAGTTTCAATTTTCATAGTTATGCCAAAAAGTTTATTTTCAAAATAAGAGTCTTGA